TGGCTGTGTCCAAATGCACCCTGTCCAAGTGCACCGCTCCCCTGATACTGAGCTCCCTTGACCAGCTGATCAATTAAAATACGCTGATTGGCTGGATTCAAGCCTCGTCCCCTACTTCCTAAACATCATCTACACAAGGGGGGAGGGGGGCATATAAAGACTACCTTTACTCAAGGGAGCTCAGTATCAGAGTTCTCAGCCCTGATGATGCAAACTGCAACGTTTGCGAAACGTCGGCATATCGCTGATTCAAGACACGGCTCCATTCCGGAAGCTATACCTAGACATTGTATCAATGGCCGTGAAAGCCTCTAATCTAGTATTAGAAGCCTGCACGGAGAGGCTATCCTAGGGTCGGTAAATTTGTTTTCCAAACTCAGGAAGTCCTTTCATGTCCAACTATGCTCCCTAGCGTTTTTTGAAACGGTGCCGCGACCATCATGTAGTACCGAAATGCTTTCAATTAAAAAACCCATTTCCATCTTCTAACCAGGCCAAAGGCATTCTACGACAAGCGTCGTTGAGGTTAGTCAAAGACCGAATCTCAGCCACCAAGAAGAACTTGGCTGAGATATCCCAAAAACTATTAAAATTACATCTCTCTCTTGCAAAATCGTTGGAGCCTGAGCTGTGGCTGACACTGGATCGAGTTACTCACGAACAAGCTGTTCACTCAGCTGAGGCAAGAACACAAAAACAGAAGAGCAAGTATGATAAGATCAATCCACAGACTCAAATGCCAGTTCTCACACATACAGTTAAGAATCTTAGCGATCAAGACCTATCACCATCCGAAGTTGCTGTTCTAGCTAAGGGACACAATTTTGCTGTCACTCCTTCTAGTATCCCTACGGAAGAAATCATCAGCCAAATTGAAACGGCTATTTTCCACCTTCCTTTAGAGGCAAGCAATGACATCAGAAATCGAACAACCAACATCCTACGCAAAGCCAAACTTCCCAAACAAAATATAAACAAAGAAGAACGCCGAGCTCTCCACGGTCTGAAACAAAACAACAAGTCCTAATTTTATCAGTAGACAAAGGGAACGTTACTGTAGTTATGAACAGGGAAGACTATTGCAGTAAAATCAACAGTTTACTCTCAGACCAAAAAGTCTACAGGAAACTCAAACGCAACCCAACATCCAGCATAGAGAAGAAAACATCTTCTCTTCTGAAAAATGCAGGTCTCCCTCTTCAAACTATCAAGTATTTAACCCCTCAAGATTCTTCAGCACCTAGACTCTACGGTCTTCCAAAAATCCACAAGGAATCAGTGCCCTTACGCCCTATTGTCAGCAATATTGGGGGACCTACCTACCAGTTAGCCCGCTATTTCACCAAACCCCTCCAGAAACTTACTGGTCTCAATGATTCCCATATCAAGAATTCAACAGATTTCGTGAATAAGATCACAAAAATCAAGATGAATACTAATGATATCCTGATGAGTTTTGATGTAGTCTCACTGTTTACCAATGTTCCAGTCCAGGATACTTTAAACATCATCAAGAATTCCGAGGAAATTCCTGCCAACCTCTTCCCACTAATAGAACACTGCTTAACTTCAACCTATTTTCAGTTCCAAGGAGAGTTTTTCGAACAAACCTCTGGAGCGGCGATGGAATCTCCTACCTACCTTTACCCAAGGGAGCTCAGTATCAGAGTTCTCAGCCCTGATGATGCAAACTGCAACGTTTGCGAAACGTCGGCATATCGCTGATTCAAGACACGGCTCCATTCCGGAAGCTATACTTAGACATCAGATCCTGCTAGAATTCGACAGATTCTGTCGCCAATTTGATGTTAGTCTGCGCACAGATTGCTTACTAGGGCTCGATTCTTGACGGTATGCGAATGAGACACGCATGCGAAAATGTATAGTTTACGTTACGTATACTGTAGATTTTCACATGCGTATTTCATTCGTACATCATCAAGAATCGAGCCCCTAGGTATTTGGTTCTTCCCTTTGATACGTACGTGACGAGTTTTTTTTTTCTTTTGTAAGGACTGCTTGTTATGATCTCACTGTTTTTTGTGTAGATTATTTAGATACAAATCTTTTACATTATTTTTACAGCAAAGAAAATGTATGCATCTTTGGAATTTCGTGACTAACTGCATTTTTTATTGTGGAATCATTAATTGAAATTCATTTTGTCTGTTTATTATGCACAACGTTTATATAATGTCCATTAGTTATACCATTGTGGAAAATTAAACTAATAATTTTATATATATCTGTGCCTATATATATCTTTGACATAGATAGACACCTTTAATTTTTAAATTTGTGATTTTAAATGTTTCAACGTTTTATTATTAGCATTAATTTAAAATGAAAACATTTTTTATTATTATTATCTCTTTTTTCAATTCTACTAAGTTTTCTTTATAAGGAGTACATACTTTTTCTTTGTTTTTTCAACTTTTAAAATTATATTCTATTAATTCTTGTAAAGTATATGATTTTTTCAATTTTTCTGACAATTGAAGTAATAGAATATGATTTGACTGGATTTCTATTTTTGTAACACATTTTACTATAAAATTTCCTCCATGTAGTGATGTATATTTTCCTACTATGTATATTTTTCTACTGTACTAATGTGAACTTGCAGGCTGTGTTCCAATATTTACTACCGATACTGAAACTCTATACGTGTACGTGACACAAATAATAGATCTTGAGTACTGATAGTGAATATCGGAACACAGTCGTAATTATCATTAAACTTTATTAAGTTTATTAATGAAATTGTTTTATTTTATTTACGCGTTTACACTAGACGAAAAGATACATGATTGATTTAATATTTATTGCGCACGTAATATACGTCCATTTTGATTGGTGCAGTCTATATGGAAACCTTTATAATATTTCACCTACGAACATTTTTTCTTTCTCTATTTAAATTAATTAACCAATTAATTTCAAATTCAGATTACACGTTTGCAATGCGAATCGCGGATATCGCAAGTGCAGATTGATATAAAACTATAAGAAAATCTAAGTGAAATTATAAATATAACTTGCTATGTAATCTAATGGTTGATTATGAATCTTTTCCTCTAGTCTAGCGTATATTCGTATATTCGAATCAATGACAATCATTATAGATACATGCTGTTTATTGCAGCTTTTATATATATTACAAAAGCAATCTGACGGACAAGCGCGCATCGCTTGTGTGCGTGCATATACGTGTGATCTGAAGCTGAATCGTTTGGCGATGCAAATGCAGTTTGTGTGCGTGCATACGTCTGTGCATGTGTCTGAAAAAATCTGAGAATCTGTGCGAAAATAAAAAGGACTTTTCGCAGCCAAGATTTCGAGATTTCCGTATTCCCTGCACCAATCTTAATCAAACTTGGTGCAAATTACGCGCGCGCTAATTATTATATCAGAAAACTTTCATCAGATTTTCGATTATAGTTTCCATGTTTGAGATATTTGATTCGGAAGACCAATCGACCCAGAAATTTCAGATAAGCTTACACGGTCGCGTTATTTTGTTTTATTCGTACTCGGCGTCGCGCTGCGATCGCGGCGCTTGATATGTTCCACCTTGCGTAGAGATCTTTGTTATCTTTTTAGTATCTATTTTAATATATAATAGACTTATCTTTTTAGTAAAGCGGAGATTGAATAGAACATTTTACTTTGAGTAGAGGTCTTTGTTAATGTTTACAGTATATATTTTAGTTAAGGTGACCAGGTGTCCTGATTTTTTCAGGACAGTTCCGATTTTTTATCTTTTGTCTTGAATTTTTCGAGTGCTATTCAGGATATCGATTTGCTATAATTTTCAATGATTGTCAAATAATTTTCGGATCTTTTAATCCCTTTCCACCCGTCCCCCACTTCACACATTTATGAAGTGTCCCGAATTTAAGACTGGGAAATCTGGTCACCTTAATTTTAGTGTATGGTAGACTCATTTTTTTATTAAGGTGAGTATTTAATAACCATAAGATCCTGGTCTCTGCTGAAACTCGCGTCCATGTATACATATTCACATATATACTCATACACACTTACATACACTCACATATTCACACACGGAATGCGAGATAGGCCATATTTTCACGTGATATATTTTGAGTAACGCGAAAATAATTTGCAAATGATAAAAAAGCGTCGTTATCAATTTCAGCAAATTACAATTAAAAACCTTTATATCTCCTAAACACAGTTATATCCTTATAGAAATATACTAAGAATCATTGATAATTACTTATTTTCAGTATTAAAAATACTGGATAATAAGTAATTATCAATGATTCTTAGTATGATATTTCTATAAGGGTATCGTCACTTTCACTACTCTTGAACTTTTGTTTCAAATGGCCTGTGGATGACGATCTGCAGTCAAAATTTAGCACTCTGGAAATTGTAATCTTGCCGTTGTAACACGTAGTAACGAAGTAACACGTTACTCTCAATCTTTTTTTTATTTTATTTTATATGTAAAAAACATAAAATTAAGTAACATTGAAAAGATCTGCCAAAAGCCATTTTTTATTTAGAAAATCTAATTTGTTTATTATCTGTATATTGTCTATATACTCTGATTTATTTATTATCGGATATTTTACATTGTAATCTTGCCGTTGTAACACGTAGTAACGAAGTAACACGTTACTCTCAATCTTTTTTTTTATTTTATTTTATATGTAAAAAACATAAAATTAAGTAACATTGAAAAGATTTGCCAAAAGTCATTTTTTATTTAGAAAATCTAATTTGTTTATTATCTGTATATTGTCTATATACTCTGATTTATGTATTATCGGATATTTTACATTATGACGCGTATAGCTGCAGTTAAATTTTTTCGGTATTAAACTATGCGAATCATGATAATTATATCACATTATGTAACTTAAATATGCGAGGCGTGATAAGGGATTCCCTTAATGGGATTTATAATATTAATCCTAAAATGATAGTGAAGAACATTACGTAAAATATAATAACGCTCCATTTCGCAGGTACTATGGCATTGTTGGCATTGAGTTTTTTAACGCCATATTTTTATTATATTCCACGTGCTACATTAGCGGCGGTGCTGATAACCGCCGTGATATTCATGATCGACCTGAAGCTCATAAAACTGCTCTGGAGAGAATGCAGTTAGTATTACTGCTGACTTTGCGTTACACTGAGAGCGATCTGAAGTAAAACACCACGATCTAATATCTCTATTTTTTTGCAGAAACAGATGCTATCGCGGTGACAGGCACTCTTTTAATCTGTGTATTTGTCAGTGTCGAGATCGGACTGCTTCTGGGTATTGTTTTTAATCTAGCCTTCCTTATCCGACCATCCGCAAGACCGACGATGCAAATAACCAATCGTAAGGTAAAAAGTCAGAAAACTTACCCTTCTCACAATTAGAAGTGATTTTTCTTTTTGGTAATCAAGCGACACGGTAGTGTCGCGAAGCCAAGTGCAAGCGCGAGACGGCCGTGTATACTAACGCCACGAGACTAGTTGAATACACACCAGATTTCTTGTTTGACCATAACGGTTGAACCGATGAGATTCTAGATAGGCTCAATCGATTCCTTGGGTTTATGTTAGTTAATAAAACTGTCTTTACTTTTGCTCTACGTTTTCTAGAACCTGAGATATTTTAGCTCAAAGTCCGAAATCGCTAAGTTTTACGATTGAGGAATTCGTCGTCTGAGAAAATGTCCAGGTTGACGTATTTGTCGCCAGAGGCGCTACGGCTCAGATTAGGTATTCGGAAACTCGGTATGAGTTATGGTCTGTTCTTTGTAGCTGCGCTGCTGAATTGGTGCAATAAGTTAGAGCGAGACAAAATATACTTTTACTCGGGTGGGACCCGATTGACCACGATACGATTGGACACAGATTGTAATGATTGGTTCGACCTAGTAATTCACTAGATAATTCTTTTCATCGGTTGGTTGTGTCCAATCGTATTGTGGTCAATCGGAACGCTCCCCTTTTACTCTAGTTCTCACTCTAACTTATTGAACTAGTTCATTGTTGATAACTATACTGAATGAATTATTTGACTGTGAATATTTTATTAGAAGTTATGTGCTATATATATCATATATATATATATATA